CTGCTCCGGGTGCCACCACTGCTGGAGCCAAACAAGTACCACCGCTGCTGGAGCCCACCGCTCCTGGGTGGGGGGGAGGGATGAGGGGTATAGGTTCATGGGGAAGGGGGGAACTGGAGTTAAAAAAAGGACCTGGGGACTCCTAAGGACCCCCCATGAGCCCTGTGAGCCCCCCTGATCTTGCCAGACCTTCCCAGACCTCAGTAACACCCCACAGATCACACCTGCCCCCAATCCCCTGATTGTCCTGTTGGTCAAGTCTGCCTGCCTCACCCCACCTGTGGGTTATACCTGCCCCCCCATCCCCCGGTGGACCTGTGATTCTCCCCAGCATGCTAGCCCCCTGCCACACCTTACCTGCTGTCAGGCAGCCATTTTTAACAGATTTAACCCCCACCCAAATCCCCCTGAATGTCTGTATTTAGCTCACCACACCCATGCAGCCATCACAGACTGTCTAGGTGTGAGCACCTTATTGCAGATATATATCATTTACAACAGCTTGGTGTTCTTATTTTTAATTTTCTCTTGGCATTATTGCAAACTAGTAACTAGAATAATCACAATAAGAAGATAGAAAGGGACAAAGAATAGTTAAAATCAAGAAAAAAATGAAAATGTTCCTGGTAGTAATAAATGAAGGAATAATAATACTGAGACCAGTTATTTAGCGTTAGTGAGAAAAGAAGTAATATTTTCATTGTCATGTTGACTTTGTTGTGATAAATTGTATTTTCCTTTAGTTGGTATGTAAATATTGCAGTGAGAGAAATTTTTCCTGGAAAGATTAATATTTCTTTGTTAATGGCAACTGCCGTATGAGAATTGTGCCCAGTCAGACTGTTTTTCGGTTTCCTATTCAGCTAAAGGTTGATCTTTAACTAACTTCTAGTAAACGAGGCCAAAAATTGCACGTGTGTGTTTGTGCTGTGGGTTTTGAGTAGAGAAGCTGGGAGGGCAAGGGGGGCTGAAAAGGTCACATCTGTTTTCTTTCACTGGAAGACACAAGGTTGGTTAATTGATAAATGGATTGGACAAAGCACTAGAAAATATTCAGCCAGGGTGTAATCCTATATACTGGCAGGAGAAAGGAGTTCATAACCTCATAAGATTTTTCCTTTTCCAGTACCATCATGCTCTGTGGGTTGCAAGATGGAGGGACATGGGTGGAAGATTGTTTAACTCCTTGGTATACAAAGATTTTTCCTTAGCTACTGTCTAAATAGACACACTCCTGAATGTCTTCCTGGCTATTGCTGTTGACAATCTTGCAAATGCACAAGAGTTGACAAAGGTATGTATGAGACATCTAGCTCTTCAACATGCATTGGTCTCTGTTCTGAAGAAGTAACCAGAATTTCTTATTGGATTCTCACATCCTATCACCTTTTCATTTTTTATATGCCACAGCAGCTGGATCTGAATTAAACCTCCTACTTCCCCAAGCTTTAGTCACCTTAAGATACATACCTCCATTTCCCCCATTTTCATTGTAGCAGCCTTTAGTTTAAGACGTTTATTTGATATTCCCATTCATTTCTCCTTCATAACAAAAACTCGTTATTGTGCAAATCTGAATAATGGAGCCTTCCATATTTTCATATGTGATTATTATCATCATCATTACTATTATTATTGTGTGGGCAGAGAACAGAACATTTTTTCACGTTGCTGTCGCACAGATATGCACAAGGACTTCGGGCATTAGCTAGCTTCAGGGCCACAGGTGAACCAGTTAAAGGTTTTCAGATGATTCAGTAGCATATTTGAGTTCATACCTGGGGAAATTCGGTTGCCAAACTGGTTCATGCTAGTACTTCCTCTCTTAATGTATTTTGGTACCAGAGAGTTAAAATTCTTCAATCAGCCCTGTGGAAAGCTGCTTGAAAGAAGCTTTTATGGGTTTTCAGGCAAGACATTAAAACCTTCCTGCCTCAGCAGAAGCAAGAGACATTTGAGACAAGCCAGAGCATTGGCAGGATGCCACAAGCTGGCAAGAGCTTCATACAAAGCCGATGTAGCTTTACTGTATACTCAGGTTTACACTGGAGGGTCCCTGGTGGGGAAAAAAGACATACCCTAGTAATGTACAGGAACAATCTGAAATGCTAGAGCTTACCCAGGTGTTTCGCTACTGTTCTAGCTCTTTATTGCAAAACAGTCATCTTCATGTGGCACACATTTGGTTTTTTTTAATGCGTGAATAAAATAACTCAAAGCCAGTCACATTCCCACTGTTGTCACTCCCAGTGATCTACAGATGAAAAGGCAGCGCCATACCCTTCTGAGCAGTTACATTTTACAGACTTATACAGGTTGTTCCTTACATGGCATGAGTGTCTCTAATCCCTGTGTTTATTGTACTCATTATTAGGGTAGTTTTTTTCTTGAAATGCTTATGATAATGCTTGCCAGGAGTTCAGAGATGCATACAATCCTAATAGTTTTTGAAATGAGAAGCCAGACTAAAGTGAAGGTTTTCTATTCCAGCCCAAAGGCTGCCACTTGAATCCCAATGCAGTTAACTGCCCCATGGTAAAATCCAGGGCTGCTTTATGGTTGAACTTTTCTCTTACAGTATTTCTTTTCTATTAGGCAGCTGCATTACTGCCTTTAGTCTACAGATTTGAATGGAGCTTTGTTTCCTGAAAGCTGATGTATAACATATAGAAAAAGAGAGGGATAATGAGTCTCAGGTGTACTATAAATGTTCCTGTTTCTGAGAGATCATGTTTTCTGCCTCCCTTTTCTATTATAATTCATTTGACTGATGAATTTAGGGGATGTTCTTAGCTTTATTGGGGAAGCTTTTCCCTTACAGAAATTCAGGGTTTTTTTTCTGTGTATTGTAAAATCAACCAGACTCTTATCTCAGAGATTTATCATCTCAAAAGTGTTTTAGCTTCACCTATCAGGATTTATGGCACTCACTTGGATGCAATGAGAAAAGAAGAGGCCCCTCAGACTTCTTGTGTAAGGAAGTTCATCCTGTTCCTTTTTAATCCTTTAAATATTCCCATCTGAATATTTCAGAAGGTGACTATGATGGTTAGAAAAATGACTTTGTTAGTGTTTATGGAATACAATTAAATATTGATAGACACAAAAGCCTTGCCAAATCACAGAACTTCTTTTGAAACTCTCTGCACTTGAATTCATTTCATGGATCCAAAAATCACTAGGGCTTTCAAAAGAGGAGGAAAAAGATAAAAGTAATTCAATTATGTGGCATACCTAGAGAATGGGAGATTTACTGCTAAGTAAACATGATCATGCAAAATTCAAAATGACCTGGAGATATAATTAAGTTAGGAGCCAGTTGACCTCAAGAGACTTCCTTTGACAATTACATTTTACAGGTAATCTAGATCAATGCTGCATACAGTGTCATAATACTCAGTAACCTGTAAATGCCTCCATTTGGGAAAGTCAAAACTCTCTCTCTCCCCAACCTTGATGCTTACATCATTTCAGCCAGCATTACCCAGTTTGGGCATCAAATAGGATTTGGTTTGTCATATTTACATTTTTGTGGTAGCTTTAATCAGTGAATTGTCACTGATGGGGGGAGGGTGAGCACAACAAACGAGCAAAAACAAAAACTACCCAACGAAACAATTACATTAAACTACAAACCTTCTCCCATTATCATTGCTGCATTTTAAATTAGCGTATTAAGCATTTTAATTTACTACCTTTACAGTCTCATCATGAGTAAAGAAACATTTGACTGTCAAAATGATAGTACTAATAACAGTCATTTTCATCTATGGACTCCATGCATGCTTTATAAAATATTTTTCTAAGGAGATGTTGTGAACTGAAAAACAGCTTCAGGGAAAGAATGATGGGAAGTGGTTGGGAACACAGGATGAGGAGGCAGGAATGCTTGTTTCTCTCCAGAAGTCCTTAGTGACCTCCTGCAAATAACTTACCTCTATCTCACATTTTCCATCTTAAAATTAAGGGAAATAATACAGCTCGTCTTCCTAGACCTGCCACTACCATTAGTATTATTAAAACTGGTTCTGCTATTAGAATTGCAGTACCACCCGAAAGAGCCCGAGTCACGTACCGTCATCCTGTTGTTCCAAGTAGTATTCCACCACAGAACAAGGTAGTCTCTGTCCGAAAGAAATTCTTACAACTTGAGTAAAAACCAGAAGTTTAATAAATATTTACATAGTGCTATAAGATCCCTAAATAAAAGGTGCTACACTAATGTTTTGATTGGAGACTTGTATACTGTAAATTTGTACCTACAGTATCAGTCTTTTGCTGTTATCTAAAGCCACAGAGCCTATTAGAGAACACAGTTGCAGGTCTAAGAGTAAATTAGGGGAACATTTTAGAAGGGAAAGTCTGAATGTATGTCCAGTGCAAGAACATTTGAACCTTTGCAAATGTAACACAGCTGGCTAGTCCTTGAAAGAAGAGACAGTTGGTAATGTGCAGTCAATAAAACCAAAACCTTCTTAAAATTATAGTACTTTAGGTTTTTATTTCTCCAAATGATTAATCTTCCACAGAATGAAGAAAATACACTTGGCTTATAGTAGCTGTTCAAGCCATTGATAAATTTACTGGAAGGTGGCAGTTGAGAAATATTGACTTTGTATAATTGTTTAATGGAGCATTTTCATCTTGGCCTGGATCAGATTGCTTCTTTATGAGCTACCGTGAAGATCTGCTCAGTATAGATTTGCTAATATCTGGAGAGAGAGAGTAAAAAAACAAGCTTGAAAGCCTAATGGTTTGGGTTCACCACTAAAATTCTTTGTAATTTTTTCCTGGAAAAGAAGGGAAGAAAAGCAAATTTTCAAAACGAGTTTAATTTAAGTGAAGACAGCTAAATAAAGACCAGGTAGTTCTTTATGTGTATAATATTCAGGGTGGAGAAATCTGAGTTCCCATTTTAGAGAAAGCCTTTGTATTCTGTACACTAGTTAGATTTTGTATAAGAATAATATCTTACATGGTTAATTTTCAACAGTAAAGCTAATCAAATGTTGTTCCATGGAGTTCCATATAGATATGCCTTTGTTTTTTTGAAGCGTGATTAGGTCTTGAGAAGTGATGCTGTAAGTGGAATCATAGGGCTCAGTGTTTTTCCTTTCATAATTCCCCTACCGATTCTGAGCAGTTTGAGAGTTAAAATGGTGTTTCATCAAGCTATCAGAACTGTCAACTGACCTTAGGATTTGAGTCAGATTTGGTCCTTTGCTATTTATGCCTTATTACCTGTAATAAAAATCATGCAGTTAGAACTTAATTAACAATCCTGTTGATAATACACAAGCTAGAAGCTAATAGATCACACTTCTACAACTGTGTGGGCCCCTGCAGTGCTAATAAGAATAACAAGTAGTAAATCATTATATATTTTTTTTAATTGAAAAAACAGCAGACTTGTTTCTGCAGTCATAATGGGATCAAATCTAATGACTAAGAAGGGGAAATTTAAAATGATATAACTGAAAATAGTGGAGTTATATGGGTATCAGGCTGGTATTAGTGAGATCAGAATCAGGCCTTCCAGTACAAAAAAAAAATCACTTTTCATATAATTGGTGGAATATGGCCTCCTTTTATTTACAGTGTTATATTTCTTATACATTCTTTCCACGCTCCGCTACATGTTGCCTGGCAATGGTGATGACACATAAATGGTGATGCTCTTAGAGATTACAGGTAACAGACAGAGCACTGGGAGAAGTGATATCTATTGTGTGATCAGCCCTTGAAAGCACTTTACAGCCGTGTCCTGACAGAAGTGCATGGCTGCAGAGCACTCTTAAAAATGCTCAATCATGCAACAAATTCACCCTCATTTAATGAGGGTTCAGATGACAGTGCTCCAAAGCCCAGCGTGCACTTAAGCAGGGGGTTGTGGTATGGCATAGGCTGGGCAAACCCCAGACTGGAGCTCCCTCCCTGTGCCTAATCTGCAGACAGCACTGGAGCTGGCAGACACAGCTCCCAAGTGGAAATTGAGCTCCAAAGTGTCTCCCCCTTCCACCAAACAGTTGACTTCTGTTGGGTTGGGGGAGAGTGGTCATTGTAACTCATGGTGCTTTCTGTGAAGCACCATAAGTTACAGTGGGGAGCTGCATGTCTGTCAGCACCCACAGTGTTCCATCTTGGCCAAGGCAAGAGGGCTTTCAGTTCAAGATAAAACCTTGCGTTCTGTGTTTTCTAGCCTTTGACAGACTGTGGCGCTAAATTAAAGATGAATAGAGCTGCAATCACCTGCACATTTTACATGATAGCTGCAGTTTTCAGATGCCTCATAACTTTCCAATATGACTGTAAACAGGTATGGCTCATGTGCCTTGCTCACAAAATATCCCATGTCAGATCAAATCACGCAGTATATATTTTAAAACAAACAAATGCAATTTTTCAGTGTTTTAACTGTTATTAGTTAAATGTGGCTTTGGCAGTTGTGTCCATTGGAGAGTTCCACTGGTTTTATCCCAGGGCTTTGGCTAAACGGTAAATGATATAATTCTGGATGTGACTTGATGTTTGAAACAGGATGAAGAGGAAATGGAAGAAGCTACAAATCAAAAGCTTGCTCTTCAGAAGGCCAAGGAGGTAGCAGAAGTCAGTCCCATATCTGCTGCTAACATTTCCATAGCAGCGTAAGTGTTATTTTATTTATTTGGGAAATATTATCAATTTGTTTCTGTTTTTCAGACTTGATGCATGTCTGTTCTATTTCAGTACCTAATACAACTTGTAAGCCCTGCCATACAGTACAAAGGACTAAAGGGCTTTAAATTGAATACTTGGTGTTAGTTGCTTAACCATGTGTTTGATTTAGCTTTTTTTGTAAATTATTTTTGTTTGAAATGTCTTTGTCTGAAAAAATATGCGTTATCGAGGATTTTTTTTATGTTGCTTTAGGAAAGACTTCACCAGGTGAACTGTTAACATTTCACTTAAGATTTTCAGTGCTGAAAGGTGGAAATATGCGTGTAATATACATGATATAGTTCAGTTACAGCAATCAGTGCTTTCTGAATTAAAATGTAAAGACAGCCTCCTAAACTGTAGCCACAAAATCAGTTATGCACATTCTTTGCTTGCTCTCCCAAAAGTATTAGCATAACATAAAGCAGGGAACTTGCATATGAAAACAGACACTCATGCACACCTGGTGTATGTTGAGAAGCATCAGCTTGCAAATAAAGGCTTTTATGCATGGACATGGACATACACCTGTAGTTTGTTATCTCAGTTTGGAAGAAAAATTCACTCTTGGGGCCAGCTTTTAAAATAAAGGAACTTTATTCCAGCTGTGGGTGGAAATAGATGTCCTCGTATCTGTGAGGTCAGTTGCAGTTTTACTAGAGTAAGGACTTCAAAGAACTCCCTTTTGTAAAGTGCACATTGTGTTTATGTTCCTTATGGTCTGTGTTTGAAAATCTAGGCATCTTGAATATACTTATGAGCACACATTCATTTGAGAAGTTTATGAAATTCCATGAGGGAAGTTTGAGAGTGTTAATGTGAAAAAGACACTGTCCACCCTTTTGCTAAGAGCTGCACATATTTCTGGACAGTCTCCAGTCATCAGAAAAGGGCAGCTGGAAACTGCTCCAAGTACTGGGGAAGACTTAACCTATTAAGAGTAATTTCCTGCTCAGTTTTATTCCAAAATATCTAGCGCCTTATTTGACTACTCTATTTCGTAATATATTTCCCTCAATGTAAATTAATCTCAGGAGGTCTTGGTGTGTATTTAATGAAGAATTGCATTACTTTAGTGAGCACGTGCAATAAAGCAAATGAAACTGGTTCACTGAATGTGAAAGAAAGTGAAATGGTTTATGCATAAAAGGTAATTATTGTATTATTATTGTCATTTTTGTGCAATGCTTATTTGCATTCATAAAATGAATATGTATTCATTCTAAGAATAACTTAGAAGCGCCGTATCCCATTTACTTCAGTGGGTCCAAGATTTCGTATCAGCTTCTTACTTACTGTAATTTTATTCCACAATGTTTCCTTGGGCTTTCACCTGATTTTCAATATCTCTGGTCCAGTTTTGTGACCACAATTAAATGTAAGTACTAAATTGAAGATTCCTTTTTATTTTGTCTGCCATTATGCCTACGCAGACACTTACGTGCCTGTTCTGGAGGTGCATTCAGGCAGTTAGGCTTACAAATGAATGCAGCTGAAGGTGCAGTAAATTTTTTCCATTTTTAATAGCAGTAGAAAATTGTAGAATACTGGAGGCCATGTTTGAACGTTTAGGTCATCTTCTATGAACAGTGTGTCTCTAAAGCAGCTATATCTGCAGTATAGAAGCCAGTGATATTTGCAAGTCAACTATAAAAAAAAAAGAATGTATGCATGAGTGATATTAGATTAGGAGACAATTTTGGAGAATACAAGCTGAGGAGTTAAACAAGTAAACATAAATACAGAAAGATTAATGGTAAGGAGGTGGGTACGCTGTGCGGATAAATTGTTGGTTGATGTAGGTCAGATGGTTCAGCAAACATCTGAGCTGAGGTGTAAATCTGTCCCTGCAGTTCCTTTCCTCCCTCCCCCTTTCTGACATTGGCTCATCTCTACAAAGGATCTTGGCTATTTCAGGGCTCAATGTCACAGCTCCTAGCATTCAGGTAAGTTGGTCTCTGGAGTAATTTAAACATTTTCAGTGATAGTGTTGATGTTAGTATGCTTCTCTGCACACCTTTTAGTGGGACTCTTAAATGGTATTACTAATGTAGAGACTGCTTTTTTGAGTTCTGAGAACTTACAAAGATGGCAAAACTGACCTGGTAAAGTAGTCATTCCTTTTTTCCCCTTCCCCTGTGTTTAAGAGTAGGATGCTGTGCTTGTTGTTTTGCTCCTGTCCATGGTTATTTTGCACAGTATAAAGGAGAAAATCTTGTATACTTTCCTGCTCACTCCTGTTTACTCATCTCAGCAGTGTCTCATTTGAGTTGCACTTTTGACGCTACTAATTAAATATATGCAATGTAATGTGTGGTGCTGCCTCCAAGTTTTCTGCCCTGGTGCATTGTTGCTATATGTATATATAGTATGTTTTCACTTGCATGTGGAAACATATACGCTTGTCCATATACCTGTTACTTGTCTGTCTTAAGTGCTTCTGTTCTTCTGTGGAATATAGCCCCCCTGCCCTCTCCCCACTTCTCCCCCCAACAACCAGCAAGCTCCAAGAAAGGCTCATTGTCATGTATTTTAGGTTACTTATTTAGTATGCCAGCCTGATTTCAGTGTACTGATACTTCAGAATTTTGCAGGTGCATAGGATGCTGCATGAGCCAAGAATTATTTGCAGTTGATGGATGGTGAAGTCCTACTACTGAAATTTGAAACTGTTTTAATAATGCATTGATTACTGCAGTGAAGTAAGGATATAATCTGTCTTATAACTGACTGAGAAAGCGCTTTCTTATAATATCGAATCTGTAACTGGAAGAAGCAATGAAGTAAGCTACTACATTTTTTCAGTTCCCGGTTCATTGCTTTCTGTGGTCTAACTTATGCTCTGCAAAAGAGACTAATAGAAATAGATTGTTTTGGCTAAGGCTTTGCTTTTTCACCTGGTGAACTCTATCCTGACTAGGCTTTTTCTTTTTCAGGATCAAAGCTGTTGCAGGACATTTTTTTTCTGTTGCAATGTTTGTTTTAAAACAAAATATTTAATCTCTATTTTATTTTACGTTTTAGTTTGAGCTCATTGTTACATTCTGGTTTTGTGATTTTTTTTTTTTCTGTTTAGCATTTTCCTTGCTTTATTGTTTCTTGAGGTGAGTTCGAGTTTGTTCGGTTTCAAACATCCAGCTTTGTCTTTTAAGGCCCTCTGTGTTGTACAGCGTTTAAATTGCTCAGCCTTTGAACTGAGTTACTGTACTAACAGATTGGACTAATCAATAAGCCATTGGTGCAGCTTCCTTGGTGGTGACAGTGGAGGCAAGGGGGAAGTGCAACGTACAGGAGTTCCCATTTAATTGTAAGGCTGACTACAATTTAGAACAAGATATGGGGAGCTAGGAGTTAGGGTTTTGATCCCTGCTCTGCCGGTATGACGCAGAGAAGTCAGGGCAAGCTATTCCATGTTTCTCATCTAAGTGGGGAAGAAGGGAGGATTAATTATTATTCTTGTTAAGTGTGACATGTAGTCAATGAATGCATGATGTACTGTGAGATGCTTATAGGAAAGGCACCAGGGAAGCTGATAGCATCAGAATTGTTCACATTATAATATAAAAAACCTTATTTTTAAATATAATTTTTGGTCGAGGAGTTTGACTGTTCATAAAACTTCAGTCCTAAACTCCTCACTTTTGAGTTCCTCCTTTGCCTCCTCTTTTTCAGCCAGAGATGCACCAATGTCATGTACAAAAGGGGCTGTTTTAAATAGAAACACACACAAGCACCTTTCACAGTTCAATAGACTGGTCTGATGGGCAAGCTATGATTTATAAAGGAATTTGAAGGCCTGTACACACATCCTATTCGCCACTCATGTTCGTAGAGTACCAGTACTGAACTTATATTTAAAATAAATCACCTTTTTACTTGTTTATTTGAGTGTTTTCCAATGACCTGTCTCAAACTCTTCTTAGGAAAAGTCTTTAAAAAAGCACCTGTAGCTGCAAAAATCGAATGCTAAATTTGTACAAACTACAAATTTGTAGCTGAACTATTTGTAAAAAAAAATAGTTGTGCCTATCATCCTACCATTTTTTTTCTGTTTTGTTGTAATAGTTTTCCCCCTCCTTTTCCAAAATAGTGAGGTTATGTGAGGTTCTTCCATTTGGTTCAGTAAGTGGTTTGCCAGATGATGTGCATTCAGAGTAAAGGAAAGCAGAGTCTGGCAAACAGCTGGCATGTTGTATTATACTTATGGGCTTTCATAAGTTTGAGTCTGCCAAGAAGCCTGATTTTAGGAAAAATG